ATGAATTTGATGCAGGACTATTGAAAGATTTCTGTTGGAATCAAGGTTTTGAATCCCATTTCTTTCCCTTAGAGTTCCAATTCTTCTGGAATTTTGATGAACTAGATTGAATTCCACTTCTATTTTGCCCTTTGGGACTCACTGAGAATGATGCAAATGCCTTCTCAGTGGTATCAACATTATGCAAATCAAACCGTTGTTCTTGACTCTTCAAGATTGCAACAACTTCCTGCAATTCTACAGTCTCTAGACACTTTGTATTTTCTATAACCAAACAGATCGAATCATAAGGTTTACTTAGACTTATCAGAACCTTCTGCACAAGTCTCTCATTAGAAAGAGATTCACCAAATGTTCTCATCTGATTAATTAAGTCATTCAGCCTTGTGAGATAACTAGATAAGGATTCATCATCTCGCATTCTAGCATACTCAAATTCTCTTCTAAGATTTTGAAGTTCTACAGATCTAACCTGATCACCACTGTGGTATTCACCGTACAGTAGATCCCATGCCATCTTGGCTGAGTCGGCGTTGGCAATCCGAGGAAAGATCTGATCAGAAACAGCATTTTGTATAATACCTAGAGCCTTTGCATCCCTCATGAGCACAGCAACCATTTCATCACCGTCGTCTTCCGACGACCCTTCAGCTTCCTTCTTCTTCTTCTTTGAATCGGGTGTTGGCAATCCCTTTTCTACCAGATTCCATAACCCAATGGATTTGAAGATTGTTACCATTTTAATTCTCCAAAACTCATAGTTCTCACCGGAGAAGATTGGAGTTCTCACTTCCGAGCTTCCAGATCCAGACATCTTGCAAACCTTTCGTGAGCTTCGATTGAGTCGGTGACCTCACAGATTTACGCCTAGATTTTAAATGACGCAACCTGGCTTTGAGGCCATGTTAGTGTTTGATATTTCTGATTAGCAAAGGAGAAGGAAGGAAGATGAATGCACAAAGACGATGAGAAAAGAATGGTTGCTCTTCCTCTCTGCAAAATTCACAGAGGGATATTCTATTTCATTAATGCTTCTCTCACTCACTCACACAACGTGCAGGGAGAGATATTACAGCTAACAAGAGCTGAGCTGGATCAACACATCAGAAAAATTGATCTCAGCCATTCATTACCTAACAACTAGGATTATCACACATGGCACTCATGGCCTTACATCTTTTGACTTTACACTTGGTAGATATGCTCAAGTGAATACACAAATAAACTCATCTTATTTCACTAATACTAATCAGCTATAGACTTATAATTCAACAAAATTGGTCCTTGTCATAAAATGAGGACATTGAGATGGTGGAATTATATGTATGTATATATCAGAAATTTGATCGTTGATTGTAGTTTTTTTATCAAAATTTTCCATGGTAGACCTTGTAACTAATTGGTTACATGTTAAGTGACAGTTAATTTTTCATTAGGACTACAATAACGAAAGACATGGTGCAAACTGAGTGCACTGGCGTTTTAGGATTCATACAGCTGACCCCACTAAGTGGGAGAAGGCTTGGTGGTTGTTGTACTATAATAACGAATCTTAGACGTGATTATATTTCTTTGTTCTGTGCAATATGTTGTCTGCTTAAGAAAATTAATTTTATTGTCCGTTCTCCGTGTTGAAAGGGAGACGAGCATCTTAGTAGTGCTTCCCAGAGACATGATGAAACAGGGTTGAGGAGCTGAGGTTGGAGGAAATAGAACCTCTGAAGTATGGATTTCCTAGTGGGCACGAATCTCTTACACTGCACGAGGTACCCATGGATTTGACAAACAACGCGGGGATGGAAAAGGCATTTGGTTCCGCTGTCCAGTTTGAATCAGAAGAAGCCATCTTAAGCATGGCTGGCAGACATCAGATAACAACAGCGTGTGTATGGTGCGGAGTAGAGTTCAACCATGAGGCTGTTGATTCCGAAATACAACCAGATTCCGTTGGTTTTATGTGTCCAACTTGCAAAACAAAAATCTCTGGGCAGCTCAATGTGGTTGGGTAACGACATGCCAGGGAATGCTAATCCTCTCTAAATGGCAGTCTATCATTTCATGTGATTAGTTTCTAGTGATGTCTGTAAATTTTATTTTACTAACCTGACCATTTTGGAATGTTTCCATTTCGCCTTTTTGTAATATTTAGTCATAATTCCCGAAATATTGTTTTCCCCCCTCTCCTCCTCCTCCCTCTGTTTTCGGGTCAATTTGAACCTATATTGGCTAGCATTCACTTTGGAGAAATGAATTCCACGCTCTTTTCCACCTTCTGCACTCCCCCTCTTAATTATGGCCCATGATTCTCTTTGATTTATTTAAGAGAAATGCAGCTAATGCAACGCTTATCACATTTTTCATACTACAACCATCTCTCTTACAAAATAGGGCTATGTGGGTTTGATCTTTATTAGAGAGGTGGTATGAGTGTAGTAAAAATATGGTAAGAGTGACATTTTTTTTATTTAAGAGAATTGTAATAATGGTTTTTTAACTTTAATCTAATTGAAGTAATCGTCTCTCAACTAAAAATTTATGACCGTTGGTCTCTTAATTTCTTAAAACATGCAACTATGATCATTTTCTTCAATTCTGTTAGAACTTTCATTAAAATGAGTCATGTGCCACGCATATGAGGTTGAATCGAGGGGCAAATAAGAAAAACCAAACGAGAAAAATTGTAACAATAATTCCTTAACTTTAACCCAACTGGAGCAATAATCCCTCAATTTTTACCCAATTGGAGCAATGGTTCCTTAACTCTAATCCAATTGGAGCAATTGTCATTTCAACATAACTTATTTTGACGGGATTTTGATGGAGTTAACGAAAGAGGCTATAGTTGCACGTTTTGATGAGTTAAGTAACTAATGATCATGCGTTTTTAGTTGAAGGACCATCACTCTAATTAAATTAAAATTGAAGGACCATTGTTATAATTTCCCTTTATTTAATTATATAGCTAAAAAAGAGATGTACTTGAAGTGAAAAATGATGTGCATAAATCATTTCCCTCCCCTTGCTATGATTATGCTGCGTGAATTCGTATCCTTCCCTCCCTCAGTTTTCTCCTGTCAGCGGTTAACTGAGAATCTAAGAGAGATCAGAATTAAAGGGTGTCACTTGCATTGAATAAAAGCAAAGGCATCTAGTTCTTGTTGGTTATGTTGTACAAACACGCTTTCTTTATGACCTTGTTTTCGACAATTAATAAAGCACAAAGAATAAACAACCAACCAAAACACAACACACAAAAGAAAACGCACGCCATGATCACAAAGAATTATAGTGGTTCGGCCGAAACTGGCATACATTCATTTCGGTGATTACCGTTCACTAGTATGAAAGCCCTTTTGGTTTACAAGAAAAGCCCCATTTCTTGTCGCAAACCCTAGGTCTTAGGCCATCTCCAACCGAAGGGTCCAGAGGGCTAGAGGGCCGAAAATAGCCCTAAAACCGTCTCCAACCGAGGGCTAGGCCAGAGGGCTCTGGAATCTGGGAGGGTCCCACGGGATCGGAGAGGGCTGGAGGGCTGGCTGCTTTCGGCCAGCCAGCCAGCCCCGGGCTGGCTATTTTTTTTTTAATGATTTCCTATTGCTGTCGGTTATAGCCGACAACATTAAAGATCTTCTTTTTTTTTTAAATAGTTCTACTATTAGTGTCGGTTATAACCGACACTAATAGTTTGAAATGTTTTTTAATATAACGGCTAGCAGCCGTTGTATTATTAGGCCTCTTTTTTTTTTTTTTTTTTTTTTAATGAATTTAAACTTTTTAAATTTTTTTTTTTTTAATGAATGTAAACTTCTTTTTTTCCCTTTTTTTTCCTTTTCATATGAATCAAATTTTGTTTCATATTTTTTTTCCTATAACTTTTATTTCACAAAATTTGTTTCATATTTTTTTTCAATTCTATTTTTTTCGTATAACTTCCTAGGCCATTTATACAACATTAAATTGTAGTTTTTAAATAATAAATTATGTTTGGCCCTATGGCCCTTTGGCCCTCGGTTGGAGACGGTTTTTTGTGACAGGGCTAAAACGAGCCCTTTGGCCCTCTGGCCCTCGGTTGGAGACGGAGGCAAATATGGCCCTGTACTATTCATTAAAATATTAATATCTTGGGGAATCTTGGAGGGCTAGAGGGCTCAAACGAGCCCTCTGGCCAGCCTTTGGTTGGAGATGGCCTTAGTATCTCTCATTCCTCACTCTCTCAAAGTGTTTCACTCTATTGTTCGTGTGAATAATCAGCCCCCAACAAGTCTATTTATAGTACATAGACCAATTGTTATTTTTTTTATTAAGGTTCCTATTCTAAATGGAATAGACACTTTTTTTCTATTCTAATTAGGCTTCTAGGATTCCTAATCTGAATTATACAAGGAAACTTAATTATTTCCTAATTCTTTTAAGACAACAATCTATGCACCTTTAGTTTTCGTAATACAATCCTAAACAAAATAGGACACTAGCATTGACAAGCCAAATCCCTAATAGGTTCTAGAACCTGCTTTAGCACAATTTTGCCTATTTAGTTTAGCAGATAACTCGACCTCAGTTTTGTTTGAAACTTACGTTTGGCATGCATGTCCTATGTAATTTCTTAACTTTGCCAAGTAAAATTTAAATTGAGGTAAATTAAAAAGTGAGTGACGTCAACACCTTATTTCAAACGATGAAAAGAAAAACACAGATCCACAGACAAGCAAACCATGGGCGAATATGTTGAGTGCTATCCAGAGATTGGTTTTTATCCGCCATTCCCCCTAAAATATAAAGTATGAATTAAAGTAAATCGAATCCCATGATAGTGGCTCGTCTTTGCCATGTTACTTTTGCCTTTCGTAGGGCATCTAATTCTTACTTTTATTACATGACTTGGAATAAAAAACAGAAGCATGGTCCATGCATACACTGCTATTTGATTGGACATATGAATTAACGTACACTGTACCTTTAAATTAAAATGTATGAATTTTCGCGATAAATAGTGGATTGATTTGGTGGTTAGAGCTTTTCTCTTCAACGCTTGCGTCTTAGATTTTCTAGGTATCAAATTGTATCCAAAGTTTCTTTGATCGGTCGATCTCCCACATTTTAATAAGGCTAGGAATATATATGATACAATGAAGATGCTCAACTCGGCGGACTAAAACGTCTCTACCGTTGTTGGTTTTGACAATTAATTATTAAAAATCCCAGATGATATGAAAGCCCGACGTATTATGCTTCCCTATATGGCTACGCTTCTATATATAGATATTACTTAACTGGCCTTGTAGCCTCTGATATTTATTTTACATGGACAATTATGGCAAGCAAAAAAATCGCTTGCCCTAGTTGCAAGCAATGGGTTCAAATGACGCTGTATGGCACACAGCACCGATGCGTCTGCGGTCATGTAATCACGACTCGCAGTGCTGCTGCAGAAACACAACGAGAAACTAGTATTCATGGTCATGGAGATCACAAGCGTGAGCGTCATAGCTTGCGGAGATGGCTTGCCAGGTGTTTTCAAACCAAGGAAGCATCATCAAACAATTCTTCTAGTAGTTGTAGTTCAAGTCGTAATAGTTTCAAGCAATCTTATACAGGGACGGGGACGCTGATGTCGTTGCCCTCCTCCCGCTCGGAGCAGCCAGTACCCAGTGGATCACGACCAAACAAGCGTGCACTTCTTTGCGGGGTGACATACAAGCAACATAAATACAAGCTCAAAGGCACTTATAATGATGTAAAAAACATGGAAAACTTGCTGACTAAGACCTTCGGTTTTCCTGCCAACTGCATACGCATACTTTCAGGTAATTATTAATTAATTAGCTTTTCTTTATTTGTCGATCGTAATTCTATAACCATTCGCAAATTACATGTATAATTATTTCTCAATTAGAAAACATTGGTCTCCAATACTATGTATAAAGGTTAAAAGAGAAGCCAATCATAAAAAATGAATCGAGAAAGAAAAAGGGGGAAAAGATAAAGGAAGTGGTTATTTGTGGTGACCCTGCGTTGGCATCAAACTTTCACATCGATTGGGCGAGGAAATGTAGTGTAGTTTATATACGCACATCTGATCTCTCGTAGCAAGATGTTTTTTGGGTATGGAGACCCACGAACAAAACCGTTGCGTTTAGGCCTTGCCCAAAGCGGATATATTATCTTGCTGGAGAGTGAGTGGGCTCTGACATTATTTGTGCTTTATAAGATAATATGTTTACGTTTTCAATTTACCAATGAATGCAGAAGATGATCCGCAAGACCTAGAGCGGATTCCTACAAAGAAAAATATAGAAAATTCCTTGAAATGGCTTGTGGAGGGATGCCAGCGGGGAGACTCGTTGGTGTTTTACTTCTCAGGGCATGGCTTACGACAGCCTGATTTCAAAGACGATGAGCTTGATGGGTTCGACGAGACCATTTGCCCTGTTGATTTTATGAAAGAGGGAATGATCCTTGACAATGATATTAATGAAACCATTGTTTGGCCACTCGAGGAGGGTGTCACACTTCACGCTATTGTTGATGCTTGTCACAGCGGAACGATTCTTGATCTGGAGCACGTGTATGACCGTAAACTGTGAGTATATTTACGTAGTCTTTAACTTCAAATTTATATGATTACATACGTTCAATCTGTGACATCAAATTTATATATTATGAGAATATAATACCACGTATTATAAATGTGATTAAAGTTTCCCAATTTAGATATCATGGGCATCAAGTCCATAGTTTAAGGTTAATACTGTCCATGCCATAGCAGCATGCAATGTAATCTCACCATAACTCTAAAAATTCTCCTTTATAATAGACTGTGAAAATACGTTTTCTTTTTACATGTTAATTTGCAGGAATATTTGGAAAGATAATAGTCCTCCATCTCGTGCTAGAAAAAGTACAAGGGGTGGGTTAGCGATTTCTCTTAGTGCTTGCGAAGATGATAAAATGGCAGCTGATACTACTGTAAGTGATCCCTCTATTATTGTGTTTAAGGAAAATATGATGAAAAGCCAACTTCTGAATGTTTCCAAGTTGAAGCTAGATGTTAGTTGGTAAGGAGGGAAAGAAAACCTATCCCTTCTTATCTCCACAAAATGATGGGATTGGAAGGCATACGTTTTCTTTAATAAGGCCTTTCTAAACCGTTCAATAATACAATAACAACAAAAAAGTTTTATCCCACTAAGTGGGGTCAGTTATTTGAATCTTAGAACCCCATTGTGCTCGGTTTTGACCTAGTCTCCGTTATCTCTAAGTACTCCACGTCTTTTCTTAAAGTCTATGTCCAAGTCTTCCTCTTAACCTTTTTCCCCTGAGCTTTTGTCTCATAATCGCATTTTCTAACCGGAGCATATGTAGGTCTGCATTTAACATATCCAAACCACCTTCACCGATTTTCTTTCATCTTATCTTCAGTTGTGGTCCCTCCTACTTTACCTCAGATATCTTCGTTCATAATCTTGACCTTTCTTTTGTGTTCACACATCTAACAAAGCATTCTCATCTCCACTACACTCATTTTTGCACGTGTTGATGTTTGACCGTTCAACATTCCTTGTCATAAAGCCTTGCTGGCCTTGGACATTCTCTAAACCGTTCAACGGGTGACCAAAAAAAAAAAAAATTTCCGTCGAACCCCCCTTTTATCATACTTCTGAACTTTTTCTTTTTTTTTTTACTTCATTTTCATGTGAGCCAATATAGTATTAATCACAAATGCAGGCTTTTGCTGGAAAATCAATGAATGGTGCAATGACATACATTCTCACTGAAACTGTTAGGAAGAAGACCGACATAACATATGGAATTTTGCTCGACGAGATGGTAAATTACATTAAAAAGATTAACAGCGAAAGATGGACTAACTCAAGATTCCTGAGGACTGTACTTCGACACAAAACCATACAGGTTTGCTTTCACTTCATGCAACATGTTAAATCAAATGGGTTCGATCTTCACTTTTTTTTTCCTTACATACATATATATATATATATATGTACCATATGTGACATGCATGTTGACTACAAAGCTCATTCAGTTCTTATCAAAGTTGATATACCAAACAGTTACAGCCAGGCTCCGAATCACGAGTGCACATTGTAATAACACTAGTTTTGTTTTGTCGAGAGTATTCTATGCCGAAGGATGAAAAATTAGCATAAGTTCTTCTCTCCACACAATGCCAATTGGATTGGATGCTCAAATGCAGACATCGTACTTTGGTTAAAAAAAAAAAAAAAAATTGCATACATCTTACTAGTGTCAAACCAAGAAATTGTAAGTTGCTAAATTTACTTAATGTGGATGTGTGCAGGAACCTATGTTGTCATCTTCTGAAACGTTTGATGTTAATTTGAAGAAATTTGTCTTGTAATGATAATTTTTTTTTGGTGGAGTTCTTGTTGGGAGTTGTGTTCTAAAAGTAAATTTGGTAATATTGAATATTATGTAACAATTTCATTTTAAATAATTAATAATAGGGCAATATTAATTCATTCTTGGGTTTATGCTTTTACATTGTAGGGATAACATGCTATGAATGAGTTCATATGATTTAAGGTATGGAAACAATGTCCTAAACGAGGATAGGGCAGAGAGACTTGTATTCTATAGTCACTTTGTCCTTAAACAAATTTCATAGTTTAGTGAACCGTGACCACCCAAGAAGTTTAAACGGTATGGATGGTTACCACATGTTAATAGCTACAAAGTTTCAGGTTGTGGTATGCAAATAGTTCTTACATCGGATATCTTGTGCTTATAGATATGAACTTTGATTTCACCTTAATGCCCTCATTATTGCGCAGGGCCTGACATTGTGTTGCTCAGGTTCATATATATGATTATGGAGATATATGAATGCGCAATAAGGGATCTATCACCTTCTAGTAATTGTTTAATAGAAAGAGATATCCCTTGATGTCACATGATCAGATCTATCTCAGAATTCTTTAGTCGAATTACTTGTTGATCAAGCTATGTTTATAAGAATTGCTTCAACATGAGATGCATCATGGTGATCAAATATATTTACATATGTTTTGACATTATTCCATATCACATAAATTTTGATTGGGATATGAATGATAGAAAAATTGAATTGCACTGTAACTACAATCAAGGTTCAAAAAAGGCCTACCCAGCCGCCGACGGTTCCACACTACACACTTCATTAGTCTAAATCTTCCACGTACCCACTAGGTGTTCGTGGTGGAAATTCCCGTGGGGGATGCTTCCTGTCCGACGAGCACACAGCTCCCCGAGAGGTTTGGCGCCGGTTGATGCTTTTCTGTCGGGCTCCTGCTTTATTGGCGGGCTTGTTAGGCAAGGCTGAAAGAGAAGGACAGAGTTAACTTTGAGAGGTGCCTTTGTGAGGCCTTAGATGTAGGCCTTGAGGCTCACCATCAAGATTAACTTTGAAGTGTTTAGGTGTGCCACTACCATCTTCAGTATGGCAGATGTAGAACGGATGTTTGAGTTTAATTATATATTCGAAAGACTATGTTAGTTATTGACAGGTGCCTTTGTGGGGCCTTAGGTATAGGCCTTGAGGCTTCCCATAAATAACTAACTTAGTACTCGAACATATAAGGTTCCTTTTCTTGGTTATGTAGGTCTTATAACCATCATACTTCTGATTACCTGAACTCAAAGAGCAGAATGAATCCAAATAGGTGCCTTTGTGGGGCCTTGAATAGGCCTTGAGGCTTCCCATTAGAACCCCTTCCATTCTCAATGTTCTTGCCCAAAAAACAGGGTGAATCCAAATAGGTGCCTTTGTAGGGCCTTAGGTGTAGGCCTTGAGGCTTCCCATCAGAACTCATCCCATCCCCGAACGTTTACATGGTAATCATAATATAACATTAATAAAACTAAGTGACAGGTCGATTACTTGCGCCCCAAGTAACTTCGGACTTCTTGTTATCAAAGCTTGTAGTGGATGGGTTAAGTCCACATCAGGTTCTTTTTTATGCCTTGAGGCCAATGACTTTTAGGGTGATCAAATCTTATATGCCCGAGGGCTTAGAACTTAGATCTAACTTGAACTGTGGAGACATATTCAAATCGGATCTAAGCACTGAGAGAATATTTTAATAGCCATATTAATAGAAATAACTTGGATATAACTTGTAGTATACAACATATTGCTAGGCTAATGAATAAACAGACAAAAACAAAGAGGGTCGGGCAAGGTTTAACCTTGTCGGGCAAGGCTTGTCGTCTTGTAAGAGGTTTGAAAGCTTAGAAAAAGGGTAGGGAGGTGAGTTTACAGAAGAAATCGATACTACAGCAAGAGTTGAGCAGGGTAGCAGAGCTATTACAAAAGGTTTATCCCGAAAGGGATGAAAGCTTGGGCTGACTACAGCTTCGTTTTGAAGGCAAATCTGGCTTTGAGCAGAGTTTGTGCTTGTATTTGTTTTGAGTGTCCTTGATTCTGACCTCTCTTTCCCCTTTTATAAACACCTTGGCTTGGCCTCTTGTAGCAACAACCTTGCCCGAATGCAATTTGAAGGGTAGTGACTCATCAGCTATTTTACTTGTACTGCCATCTAAAAGTACTTTTTGGGCTGTATAGCTGGCTGGTCTATACCACTTGACCTGCACCTAGTCTGAAAAAAGCCTTCCCTGTATTCTAGGTTTGGGCTAAGCTTCGGGCTTTTCCTTCTCTTTTTGGGCCAACTCCCTTCTAAGCCCAAAGTTTAAGTTTTAACCCAAACAGTGCCCTCTTCAATCAATATTTAGCTTGGAATTTCAGGCGCCAATATTGATTGAATATGTCTCTATTAATACCCACGTCTTTCGTTCTCGGGATTTGCACACTCTTCAAAAGCAACCACCGCCTTTCTTCGGTTAAGCTCATCATTCCCGAATCTCCTGCATTCCTCTCATCTCCGGAGTCGAAAACTTCCTAATCCTTCAACCGCTTCTTCCTTGTCGTTCCATTTCTAGATTTCATCAAAATGGCCTCGGGATCCAGCCAAATCCATCTATCATATGAATCTGGCGAAGGTATCGCCACTTTGCGCCGTTTACTCAACGGCCTGCATCGCCCTCGAGCAGGTTTGTATTCTGAGCTTTTCTTTGAAGTTCATGGAGTACAATCGTTGGGTCCTGCATGGATTTCTCGAGTCCCTGCAGTGATAGAGGACAACATGCCCAAGGATAACTAGTTCTCTCCAAATCCTTATTTGGCTAAGTCGGGCATTTCCTCATCTAAGTGGTCGTTATATCGCCGAGGTTTTCCATTGATGAATGATCTGGCTTGGGCCCAATGGATTGATGAACTAGAGCCAACATTTAAGACGAAATGGATGAATAATGGTATTTATGAGTTGATAATGCTCTAAAAAACCACCATTATTCCCAAGCCCGAACTGCTTGCTTCCTCTCTTATTTTCTGGAATTCGGGCACAAATACTTTTGACTTTCGCATGGGTCCCATGTCTCCGACTATTCTAGATATGGCTCAAGTCTTCAGGCTAAGGCCATCGGGCAGGATAGTAGACGTTACCCAAGACTGGGCTCTCCCATCGATTGCTGAAAGCTCAGGTTCATCCACATCCTTCCTCTCCCTGGAATATAACTCCGCAACCTTCAAGAGCTACGAAACCTTGTTCAAGGGATTTATCCCTTTTGTAAAAGAAAACTTTAGAGCAGGTTCCTCCCGTGCCGATAGAGATCAAGAGCACATGTATTTCCTTTTATACTGGCTTAACAAACATATCTTCCCCAACAAATCTAAAGGGGTGAAGGTTGAATGGATCCCCTTGGTGGAAGCTCTTCACAATTTTGACGATGTGGCAACAGGTCCATTCATTCTTTCTCATCTTTACCACCTTCTCTTCGAAATGACTCAAGGTGAACCATTTGAGACTAACCTGAATGGACCCATATGGATGATACAAACATGGCTCCAATGGTATTTCCCAGAGTTTCGGGCTACCAATTTAGAGTTCCCTAAAGGTGTAGCCCCTGCCCGAATCCTAGCTGAAGCTGCTCTTACTGACCACTTCACCTTTGCCTGCTTTTATTTCTTCAAGGTTTGTAGGACTTGATCAGACCTGGAATGGTGTGCATCAGTCTTGAGAAGATATCCTTGGTTCTCTAACCAAGCCTTTCAAGATGCTTATGGGGAAGATGCCACTTCTTCTTGCAGGGAAAAATTTATTAGTTGCATTCAATCAAGAGATATGGCCTGGGGAGTTCGGGGCAATCGGTATGATCGAGGGTTGGAGGTGTATCATCCCAACTTTTGCAGCAGGCAATTAGGCTTTAGGCAAGCCATCCTTATCCCCCTCTTTGACTCCGTTCATTGTGGCACTTCCTTTCGTTTAGTATCTCCCTCTGAGGTGACCTTTAGGGTTGCCCGACGCAGTCTCGAAGTCATGAGTCAGGCTACCCGAAAGTCCATAATCCTCAATTTTGAATGCACTTCACTCTTCTCTTCTTGGTGGGAGGACAAATGGACCAAGAAATATAGAGGAGACTTGAGAGAGACCCATGATCGTCTGTTCGGTCAACTTTCTCTTAAATCATACCCTAGTTCGGGCGAACTTGAAAATTGGAAGGAGATGATTCAAGAGAAGAATCAAGTTCTTCTGATAGGTATCCCCTTTCTCCTTATCTTGATTCCATAATCCTTCCCTTAAACCTTTTAACTTTTTCCTTTCTTAACCCTGCAACCCAAGTGGATGTTGAATCAGTTCCTGCTGAGTCCGAGGATGACTCAGCTGATGCAGCAGTTCTTCATGGAGCTGCGGCAGAGGCTGAGAGGTGAGAAGCTGGAGGAAGTGGGGACGTTTCAGAAGATTCAGGGGTTGAAAAAGAAACGCCTGAAGCTATTATCCAAGTGTCTAAGCGAAGGAAAGCAGTCGTGATTGAGAATTCAGATTCTGATCCTACATCCCCCCCAAGATTAAACCACGAATTCCTACTCCTACTAGAAAGAGTAAGAGGTCCAGAACCGTCCAAACTATCAAGTCTTCAGACCCACCTGCTCCAGTTGTTGAGGCGGGCAGAAAGAAACAAAAATCTTCAAGTGAGTTGTGTTCTTTCTGGTTAAACTGCTACCTTGATTTTTTATATAGTTACCTATGTTTGAACACAGGACCTCAAACATCAAAGAAACCAACCATCGCCTCCAAGGATGAACCTTTAGGAGCTGCAATGTACAAAAATGCTGAAGAATTGAGAAACTTAACCCTTGAAGAACTTGAGGTATACTCTACTTGCATGTCTACATAATCTTCCCTGTTTTCACAAAAACCCTGAGTATGGTTTAATTGAGTTAGGCTACAAGAAACAAACAGCTCCATCCGCCCGAGGTCTCTCCGCCACTTGCTCAAGAGACAAACCTCTCCCCCCTCGGGTTGACCCTTCGAAGGTATACTCCCTTGCTCAAACCTTAGATAGCTTTATGATTTCTGGGGGTAATGCTTGATCTTTCCTTTCCTCTAACTTCATTCAGGTCGGGGTATCTGCCCCTTTGCCTAGCCAAGGTTCCCATTTGATTTCTCCTTCTGTCTTGGAGGCAACTCCTTCTTCTCAATTTGATCCATCCACATGGGTAATGTTGCAATTCGTGGATGAGGACAGTAATTTGGTGAGTAACCATCCTTACAATGATTTCTCGTTCATTGTTTTGATATTGATTTCTATTTACCTCTTCCTCAGCCTTCTTCAATACAAAATCCATCAGTGGCAACAAGAACAAGTGACGAACCCATAGTTCCTGAGATTCCTGTGACTTCAGAAGCAACTACTTTGCAGGTGTTTGCCTGCCCGACAGTTACCCTTGATAAACCTCCTTCATCCCCTCAGGGTTGAACTTTGGTAAGGAGATATTTCCTTCCTGTAACTCTTACCATCTACTTACTAACCATCACTGCCCTTCCTGTGTGCTTCCAGGGTATTGGTGAAGGTGTAGGCGCAATTTCTTCTTCCTCTCAAGCAGGAATTAGTACTCTTCCTTATGAGACTCCAAGCATTAGTCGGGTACATTTCTTCCTCCCCAAACTTTCCTTCATTCCAAATTGTCTATTTAACAATATGATTTTCTTTTGGTCTCTGCAGCATGTGCCTGAAGAAACTTCTCCTCCTCATTTGGTTCGTAAACCAAGGCTCCCCCGACCTCATTTGGCTATTGGGAGTGCTGAGATGATTCATCCTGGTATGGAGAAGGCCGGAGAGCTAAAAACTGCCCCATCAGTAGGTGCTGCTTCATTAGAGAAAACTGGAGTGCAAAGTCCCCCTCTTGCTTCTCTGGCTTCAAAAACTGCTAAGTTGCCCGAACTGTTTGAAAAATTCGGGCAGCTCGAGACAAGGCTGAAATCCTCGAAGCATTCTTCACCTTCAGGTTTCCCAGAGCAGAAGCGAGTTTTCCAAGAATGGGCAAGGAAGGATTTCTCCGCTTCATTTAGCCTTAAGGACCTTTTGTTGGAAGTATGCCCACAAAGCCACTTATTTGATGTAATAGCTTTTGGAATACTTATTGTATTAAACTTTTATATGTTTAATGAAGGGCAAAGCTTATTGTTAATCACTATTTATTGTATCATGTGTTTAAGCAATAAAGGAATCCAAGGAATGTATTTGTTCTAAGAGATAAGTGATCTAATGAGTTAGATTATCGAGACCTTTCTCTTATGTTCATTCCTAAAACGTTCCTAGCCATAGGATTGCCAATTGGGCATTGACAATCCGCTAAGGTTAGTATGTGTTATGTAGACTCAAACGTGAGTATGAACTAGTCTCAAGTCATTTGGTGTTGGACACTGAGACAAACACATAGGTGCTCGAAAAGGTAATCGAGTACACTGAACGTCGATCAAAAGAGAGTTCGAACATACATGTCATGTATGAACTCTAAAGTTGCAATATGCAAAGTAGTCCTTTGACCTGAGGCATCATAGATGTCTAATGGTTAGGTCCTTGATCTTTGATCATGTCAACGGCATTCCTTCGGATTGTCCACGGCATTGTTGGGGTCAAGCTATCTAGTCATGTAGGCATATGAATGCACAACAAGGGATCTCTAACCTTCCATGGTGGAAGGAGAATACTCTAAGATATGATTCTAAAGTCTTTGGCCAAAGCATATGAATATGACTTAGGAAGTTTGTTCCAAATCATATTCAAAGGAATCATATAGGAAAGTATCACATTGGATAGTAGACATGAAACAAACTATCACTTAAACAATGTGATTAAGAGTATTGTATTAGAGAAGGACCGTATTGCATTGTAGTTGTAACTGGATAGGTTCTCCAACCAATTCTACTTAGCTTGGGTAACCATGATATGCTGCTAGGTGTCACTCATGGTTTGTGGAAGCCCTGAAGATTAGCAAACTCTAATCTTAAGGGAGAATTGAAATGTGGTTTCAATTCACAATCGATCGTTAAGAGTAACATCGCCCACTGCCTCGCTAATTGGAACCTAATGGATCGCACACCACATAAGGATGTTAGTGAAGAAATTATATGAAATGGATAAGCAATTAAATGGTTTAATTGAAGAATGGTCAAGATTAATTAATTAGTTAATTAATTATACGAAAAGTTCGTATTGGGCTTATATGTTGGTTTTGGGTTTCGGGGCCCAAAAGTGTTTTGGTCCACAAGGCCCATTATGTTTAAGTTGTATGACAACTAAAACAAAATGGGCACATTAGCCCAATAACAAGGAGAGGCCTGCCATTAGGGTGAATGGGCAAGCTTGCTTAATTACAAGTTTGCCACTCACCAAAGAAAATGTTATAAAAGCAACTTTATAGCAATTTTCTCATTAAGGGTTTTTCTAATAGAAATTGGGTGAAACATTTTCTCTCATTTTCTACATAGAGGCCGGCCACTTAGAGGATTTTTACTAGCATCTAAAATCTCTCTAAGTCATCCATATCATCTTCACAATATACACCTTGGTGAAGAGACTTAGAGACATCAAGCTTTTGATGTTTTTGGAGAACAAATCCTTATTTCCTCAAATCATCAAAGGAGCACTAAAGGGAGGAAAACACAAGGAGGATTCAAAGAGCTTGGAGGTGACTTGAAGGCCCTCCACTTGGGTGAATCCCTTGTGTAATCAAGGATGAGCTTCAAGGGTAAAGAATCACTAAATCTTTACTTCTCTTTAATGTTGTTAAAGAGTTTATTTTGGTTCACCATATACTAGGCTTTGAAAGTCATGGGTTTTATGAATTGTTTTTGGATGCATGCCTACTTTAAAGTGTTAATAGCTTGCATGTGTATTCAAATGTTCATACTTGTTCTTAGCTAGGACAAAATTTTTCCTTCACCTTTATGATCTGGAAAAGGTTACAAGTGAGTTTTTCAAAGCCGGCCAACTGTCAAAACCCAACATGATTCATTCTTCTCCTTCTTTGAAAATCTGAGGGTTCTTCGGGATCAATATAAGAGGGCAGAAAGATAAGCCAATCGAGTAAGATGCTTTCAGGAGAAGGAATAAAGCACTTCTGCTCAGGTAGACAAGTTGATGAATGATGGTTCATTAACGAAAGAAAGAATTGGAGTGGTGACTGCTGAAATCCAAAAACTAGAAGAACAACTGGTTGCTCTCAAGGCTGAGCAAGCAACTCTTCTAGACACCCTCGAAAATCAAATCGAAGAAGTGAAGAAGACAAACTCGGAGTTGGAGCATTCTAGATCTCAGCTTGCAATTAGCCACACCATCCTGGCCGAACCTAATCGGATTTTTACAATTATGCAGACATATCACTCCTGAATAATCACCCTGAGTGAAGATGTAAAATTATTAGATTAGGATGATTACTTGTAACTCTTTTTGCTTTGGAATGAATATTTACTTGTCTTTTGGCCCTTATCCAAACTTCTTTCGGGCAACTCTTTGCCCCCTTGTTTACTTTCTTCTTTATTTGAGCGAGAATGTTGTGATGACCCGAGATCCATCTTTCCTCTTTGTTGTACCCCCCGATGACACTGGTTTCTTTATCTAAATCAGATGGATCGTGTTGATAGGAGCTTACGGGAAAGGATTTGTATCAACCATCATACTGGCTTGTGGCTTGTCAAGTAACAACTTTCCCTTCACTATAAGGTCTTGTACCTAGTCTCTGAACTGGACATAGTTAGTTATAGAATGGTTGAAAGTATAATGTAACTTGCAATACTTTTTTCCCCTCAACTCTTCTCGTTTGGGCATCTTCTTTGTACTGTCGGGCACAATCACTCTTGCCCGCACTAGCTATTCATAGATCTCAGGAGCTTTGGCCAGATCGAATGAATAGCTCTGATATTTGGGAGGTTTCATCGGGATAAAGCCCCCATCGTTCATCACGATCTTCTGGTCCTTGACGGGCTGAACTAATCCTTTTACCGTCAGGGGTTTGAAAGGCGTAGTCATCTCAGCAGCACACACCTCGATCTCCTCTCTATCATGATCGTCCTCCCGCTCTGGCCCAATTTCTCCCACCTCCACATGATGAATTGTAGCTTTGTTTTTGTAGAAGGGAGGAGTTTTGGACGTATGCTTCACTTGTTGTTCTTCTAGCAACAGCTTTTCATATCTTGTGGCAGCAATGACTAACTCCTGTAACTCATTAAATTGTGTGTCATAAAAGCTCTTTCTCAAAGGTAATTTCAGAGCTCTTTGAGCAATCGATATGAGCTAAGCTTGGTTAACAGGGAATTGGCACCTCATCCTTGTTTTCTTGAACCTCATCATGAAGTCTTCTGTGGACTCATGCTCGTACTGTTTGACTTCAACCAGATCATTAATAGTTATTTCTGGTTCTATTCTGTAAAATTGTTCATGGAAAGCCATCTCCATTTGCCGCCAGTTGGCAATAGAGTTAGGGGGTAATAGAGAATACCACTGGGATGCAAGTCCTGCCAATGAATTCCCAAACAACCTTAACTTGTAGTTTGGGTTGTCTTCATATGCCACACAGTGATTAGAGAACTTGAAAATGTGATCTCTGGAAGACACACTGCTGTCTTCACCCGTGAATGTTGGGAATGCGGGCATCTTGAAGTTGAGAGGAAATGGATTCTGTTCATCAATGTATTCAGGATAAGGCTTTTGATAAGTAATCCTGAATACTGGACGAGCTCGTGGTTGAGCATTTTGAACTACTGCCCTCCTTAACTCGGCCAACTCATCCCTTAGTTGTTGAGTAGCTATATTATTCTGGAAAAGAAGGGCGGACTCATCCTTCGGGCTTCTGTCATTGCCAATGAATGCTTCCTTCTTCGGTTCAGGCTTTCTCCAGTTGGTTCCCCCTTCCTTATGAGCCAACGGGGGTGGCCTATAAGGAAGAGGTTTGTCCGGGGCTGCAGAGCTTTCTTTTTGGCTGGATTCTCCCGTTATTATGGGCATCCCATACTTTTTCCTCTCCTGTTTGCTCTGCTTCCTGTTATTAAATGTTAACAACGGGAAGCTAGGAAACTCTTTCCCGAGGACCGGCTCTATCGCGGGTTGACTCCCTTCAAGAACTGCTTTCTTCTTTCCCCTATTCGCTTATTCTTCTAATAGTGGAAATAGGGGGATGACTGGCTCACTTCTGATGGTAACCTGGCTCACCCCACTTCCTTACGCGCCTTTTGGAGTGGAGAACTCCAGATCGAGCCTTCTCTGTAAATTACCTGTCAAGGTACATAGTCTACTGACCTCCCCCTTTGTCTCCAAAGAGATCTTTTCCATGCTCCTCAACACTTGTATCATAGTGGCCTGTAATTCCTCATGGGTTCCTTTTCCTTTTGACTTTCCGGATGAGGATAGGCTTTCTAGGACCACCCGTCCTGATGGGGAAGAAGGATTGCCTGATTGATCTGTCATTGGTGGCAAAGTTGAGAAGAATCGCTCTTCGTTTTCTTTTCACAAAGTGTATGGCTTTTCTTACTGGGCATGCAAGAGTTACACAAAAGAGTGATCCCACTAGGCGTACCAAAACTATTTCCGTGGTGGAAATTCCCGTGGGGGATGCTTCCTGTCCGACGAGCACACAGCTCCCCGAGAGGTTTGGCGCCGGTTGATGCTTTTCTGTCGGGCTCCTGCTTTACTGGCGGGCTTGTCGGGCAAGGCTGAAAGAGAAGGACAGAGTTAACTTTGGGAGGTGCCTTTGTGAGGCCTTAGATGTAGGCCTTGAGGCTCACCATCAAGATTAACTTTGAATTGTTCAGGTGTGCCACTGCCATCTTCAGTATGGCAGATGTAGAACGGATGTTTGAGTTTAATTATATATTTGAAAGACTATGTTAGTTATTGACAGGTGCCTTTGTGGGGCCTTAGGTATAGGCCTTAAGGCTTCCCATAAATAACTAACTTAGTACTCGAACATATAAGGTTCCTTTTCTTGGTTATGTAGGTCTTATAACCATCATACTTCTGATTACCTGAACTCAAAGAGCAGAATGAATCTAAATAGGTGCCTTTGTGGGGCCTTGAATAGGCCTTGAGGCTTCCCATTAGAACCCCTTCCATTCTCAATGTTCTTGCCCGAAAAACAGGGTGAATCCAAATAGGTGCCTTTGTAGGGCCTT